TTAGGTGCACAGTCACCATTAGAACTCATAAAACCTGAGTACTAGTCTAACAATAAAAAAATGCTACAAATTTATGATTCTCATTTCAAAAAGAAAAGCATTATAACAAGTATTCAAGACTAAAGGAAACTAAATTTGAACAGGTGACATGTCAAGAATAATATACCACTAACTCCTCATGAGCCACAGAAACCATTATGCTTCTGTTGTGACAGGCTGTGCTCCATATCTTAAATTTGTGAAATTGTCCTTTAAAGCCCCTGTGCCTGTACAAACAGGTGTGGTGTGTACAGACCTGTGTGGCGCTGCAGAGCTCCTCCTGCAGCTCAGCCTCCTGTGCTCTGAGCAGCTGCACCTCCTCCTGCAGCGTGCTGTGTTCCCACTCCACCTGCTGCAGTAGCGCCTCGCTCTCCTGCTCCGCCTGACTGCGCAGAGCCACCAGCCTATCACGGAAGTCCTGCTCCAGGTCCCTGCCAATCACAGAGCGGCTCGTCATGTAGTGACTTTCGTATCAGCACAAAAACTCCAGTTTCACTGTGTTGGAAGTGCAATGTAACCAACCAATACAAGCCTACAAACTGTACTGCTTCAGTCTCAGCAGCAGAAACCTGAAGTTCTGACCTGATCCTGCTCTGGTTGAGCATCTCCATGCTGGCGTGGCTGTCATCCACCTCTTGGACCAGCTGCAGGTTCCTCTGATCGGCCAGGTCCAGATCAGCCTTCACCTTGTTCCGCTCCCTGCAGGCCTGCTCCGCCGCCACCCTGAACGTGCAGGTACACGCACACGCACATGCACACAGAGGGTTACATGTAATTGTTCGTCACAGGGTCAGACATTCATGTGTCGATAACAAAAAGCCTGTGAATGTATAAGGAAGGAAGGAAAACTTAGTAGTAGCAGTAAATATATTATAACAATATCATTTAAAACCATTATCAACAGCATGAGTAGTTTCTGGCTCATGTTATGTCAAGTGTGAGCAGACCCTTCGTTACTTTATTTAGTGGGATCATAATCATAATAATCACTTTATTTGGCCAAGTATGTTACACACAAGGAGCCATCTGCGGCGCCAACTCAACCGATGGCTCTAACCATCGGGGGCAACGAGGGGGGGGGTTAGACACAGAGATTCAAACCTCCAACCCTCCGGTTGGGAGACGACTGTTCTACCCACTGAACTACAGTCGCCCCGGATGTTTTTGGCTTCATACTGTACGTTTTGAGGATAGTTTTTCTTCTAAAGCCATTTTCTATCTGATATAAAAAGGAAGATTAAAGTAAATACTTTATACTTAATTATTTCTAAAGACCACATTCTATTTAAAGGTAAATGAACATGTAGTAGCTGTAGACCAACATTTCTTATATTCATAAATCAGAGCCAAGCAGGTTTTCACATACAAGGAATGCGTCTTGGTTGATGTGGTGCAGAACTGGCTAGAATATACAGTAGGAAAAGATATGTCCTGCAGAAGTATCATGAAAATAAACACAAATACAAACTAATGTAGAATTTTACAAATGTCATCAGTTTCAAATCAACGTAGGAATTAATGCTTACAACACTTTTACACTTTAAGGAATGGAAAACTGCATTTTTTACAACATTTGCTGACTTATGACACTCCCTCTGCTCTGTGCTTTGTTTCTAAAACTGTCCTTTATCACACCTGTCTCCACCTTCCTGGCTGAGTTGGATCTGCTTATATGCAGTATGTAATACTCAGTAAATAGTTGAGAATAACTTCACTTTAGAATATCTTCTGTTGTTTTAGTGGATAAAGTGTGAATCAGCTCAGGTTTTGGAAGAATTAACATGTTTTCCTAGTGTGTGCAGGCACAGAGCAGCGAGCTGAGCTCTGGAAACTTACTGCAGGTGCTGGATCTCGTTCTTGTAGGAGATGAGCGCCACCTGGTGGATGCCGTTCCCACTGGCCAGCAGCTCATTGTCCAGAGCCAGAGTCAGGTCTGCCAGACTGAGATGCTCCTCCAGAGAAAAGTCCAGAGTCTGCAGAGAAAACATCGACAAACTGAGAATTGATCACCTCACCTGCAGCAAGATAAGCTCATTATTTGATTATAGCTTATATCGAAGAATTAACTGTGTACAGATTTGTCAGACGTTTGAGATATTTAAAGACCAATGACATAAAGAATGGAAGGTGGTAAAAACAAATGTCTCAGGGCAACAACTAATATTTTATTAAACTGAATAAAGATGTTTTCCCCCTTACCATACAGTATAGGCTGTTTTATGCTTTATGCAGCAGATGGCACAGTAGGTTCAGCTGCATGCTAACGTGTTAACATACACCAACCTAACATGATTTAAAAAAGCATTCTAACAGGTCACATAACTAGATTAATTTAGTAAAGGTCATATACATGTTAGCATGTGCAGTATCTGAAGTATGTTGACAGAGTAATGGGTCAAATGTGAACATGCTACATGTACTGTAGCTGACATGCTGCCATTAAGCTCAACTCACAGCTGATTAACTTCAGACTGAGTTGTTTTGGAGAAGCTGCAGGCCATTATTCTCATTTAACTGCAGGAAGACAGATTCCTCTTCAGCGATACTATAATTGTGTATGCATTTATTTATAAACTCCAATCCTGGCTTGGTTTTTCATCATACACCACAGCAGCACAAAGTCCTCTACATTACAGCAGAGCCCGAGTGACGCGTTCGCCTCCCCCTAACTGAACCAGAATCTTCTCAGACCCACAAACACATCAGCACTTGAGGACAACACATACTTCCTCTAACAGCTCAGTCCTAACAGGAGACGATTCTGCTTTGCTCAAGTGAATCCACATGTTGATTCTCTAATAGAAAGAAGAAACCTGACGCTCTGCTCAGAGGCTCCAGAATCAGAGGAATGAGGAGTAGCTCAGTTTGACGGAAGCCTTGAACCTCACAGCAGAAAACCACAGAGCTGACGAGGTGGTTTGGCTGAAAACCCAATGAGAGATAAAGACAGAGTAACTCACTCAGGCAGCGGAGAGCATGAGGAGCTGCACTTTGTTAGTGAAGGGAAAAAAGAAGTAGCAAGCTAAAGCTTTAGCCTGTAACAGTTGTAAATAACTCGAGTTAGAACTAAAACTCTGATCTGGGCCTCAGTTCTCTCATCGGCATCTTAAAGTGTCAACATGTACACACTGGCTGCGACACTGCAGCCACTGCTCACATGCTTACTTGTCCAGCAGGCAGCAGATCAGAGACTGATCATGCCTGGCTGAAATCAGAATTTCTTAGTTGTGAATTTGCTTTTGCACAACATAAAAACAGACGAGTGCAACACCAGAGGGAGTTTCAGTATTGTTGAGCTCAGAGAAAACAGCAACAGTGACATCGTAGACAAGTTCTACCACCACTGTTGTGCTGATCCAAACTGCTGCTGCCCAGAGGTTCATATGCTCAACTGCAATCTGTGCATGTACAGTGTTCATTTCTGAGGACGTGCACAACCAGCACTTGGGATATGCAAGGTAACCATGATGATGCAAGTGTGTACCTGAGGATGCTCTGAGTCTCCTGCAATGGGCAGGAAACTCAGCAGGAGGCAAAATTTCAAATTATACAATGTAAAATAACTTATAAGTGAGGAGCCTGGTCCTGGTCTAGACTGACCTGCAGGATGTCTCGGCTGTTTACGATGCCCTCCTCGGTCCACAGGGCGATGACCCGCTCGGGGCTGGTGCATCCTGAGCCGTCATCCAGCCGACTGAGGACTCTCTGACCCACTGTGGCTGTCAGCAGGGAGGGTGAGGCGGAGAGAGCTGAGGGCTCCTCTAACACCGCATGAGGCTGCATGGACCACAAGAACCCAGAGTCAGAAGTTAGTCCACCTTGAGACACGAGAGGCTGAGGTGTGTGTATGTGAATATAGTGAGTGAGTCAGACTCCAAGAACAACTGTGTTATGTTCAACACACACTACAGAGATTGGCAGGGTCTTAATAAACGCCTATTGTTGTCATACTGGAACATTAAATCTGGATTAGCCTACTTCACTCTGAGCCATACAAGCCTGCAGACCCACAGAGTCACGAACATGGAGGGTGGAACACTGAAGAAAAACACAAACTGCTACAAGACGTCTCCACTTTAAACTCGGCTGTTCAGTTACATGCTGTAAGTGACTGGACAGGCTCTAGCCACACAGAGCTCACACCAGACCTTTGTCTTCTTACACACTGTGGGGCCCAGAGCATAGTGCAGAGACAACTTGTAGTGTATCTTATTAGCACCTTTGTTTATATGGTTTTATATAACAAGCAAAGTAGAAAAAAGAAACACTGATGTGTGTGGAGTCTGAAACCAGGTTGTAGTCAAGCCTTCAATGCAAACCTGTTCAACATAAACACGCTTCATAACATCTGATCCACCAGAAATGTTTCTGCCCGATTCACCAGTAGGTAGCAGTTTGCTCCACAGACTGCTACCTGTCTGAATATACCTGCTCACCTGCAGCACCTGCCTGACCCTGATTGCACCGATGACTGCCAGCTGGAACAGAACCTCCTGATTGGACATCTCTCTGTATGTGGTCAGGTGACACTGCCTTCAGGAGCTCCTCAAAGGCTCAGCATCTCTGACGCTGTGTTTTCACAGTGGCCCGAAAGCCAAACTTATAGTATTCACAAGTGAATCAGGGTCAACTATTTGCATGTCTACTTAAGACACAACATAATCTTGAGCTCAGCCTGTTATCCAGTTTTTCACAATTCCCCTTTTGTAGTTAAATTCCATTTTTTATATCTATATATAATTCACAGCACATAATTTCGTCTCACCATAATCATCAGGATAAACGTATCAGGTCGACTCAAACAAACTGCTCAATACTCATTCTATCGATTTCATTCATTGTTCTGTTTTATTGTTTACCTGCCACTGAACTGCATTCAGCATTCACTTAATTGTCTTTGTCATATTAATAAATTAGCATAAACTCAGTTCTGCTCTCGACATAAGTGTGTGTCTGACCCTGCGTGGCGTCCTCTGCAGGCCAGCAGGTCGTACAGGGGTGGAGCATGACACGGGGGCAGACCCACACAGAACCTTCTGGAACTCCTTGATACCGACTCTGCTGTCCAGGTGGGCATCCAACCTTCTGAGCAGCAAGTCCAGCTCCTGTAAGTCAGAGGTCAAAGGTCAGAACAACAAGAAAATACATACAGTTATGATGCAGTCGGACAAAAATCCGCCCAGTAAAGTCTACTTGTGTGGCGTGGCCCAAAGCAGAAGGAGACAGGAAATGACATGGGGAAGACTGCAAACATCACGTGCAGTAGCTAGCATGGTTAGCATCTACCGGCAGCAATTCATAGAGTTGTAAATTAGTGTTTTATCACATATTTCACTGCCATTAACTCTGTCATTCATGTCACGCTCACGACAGCCAAGCAGCATCTCTTCTCTGCTGCTGGGATTATTTCACCTGCAGTTAGAAAACTAGAACATAAAAGAAAAACCACTGCTTCCTGAGGGAGGAACTGACCAGAAAAGCTTCTTACATCACAGTTACAATTAGAACTACTCGAGGTCTTTCAAAGTGCATTTCAACCCATCACAGACTTGACTGATGACGGTGAACACGTCTGTACGTAGGAAGAAGTCTACGAGGGTGGAGGTCTGGATTCAGCCACACTAACTTCATGATCATGCAGTCTTACCTGTGTATTGAGCTGCTGCAGGCCCAGGTGATCACACACTGTGGTCAGGACAGCCCGCTCCACCTCCTCCTGCTGAGGACCTTACATATACACACACACACATTTAAAGGCCTTTGAAATTAAAAAGTTTAAGTTCAAACAAGCCAAGTCATAGGCGATCCATAAAAAACACACTTCAGTCACCTCAAGATTCACAGACTGTGGTAGCTTTTAAACAGTAGTCTGACATTATAGCTCACTCACCTTAACCTTATTTATCTTGCTATTGTAAAGACCACCCCATTTTAATTTATTATCATTATTTATTTTTTAGAATGTGAGGCTCATCTGTTTTCAACAAGTAGCTCCAAAGGCTGAGAATGGCCGTCACTTTGTACAGTGTCAGGATCAATAAAACCTTCAGACTCATTATAAAACTTTAAAGTAGGAAGTACCTTTAATTTGAAAGTCTGGCTGGAGGTTTTCCTTTTGGCTTCCTGCCTCCTCATCAGACTTCAGGCTCTGCAAAGAAAACATGGAGGCCAGTGACAGACTGAGTTGCTCTGTGTTAACCAGCCCGTTAAACTAGTCTGTGCCAACACAGAGTTATGAAAGTGAGTGGCCAGAGGATGCTGGAGAAAATATGTAAGTGTGTGTGTGTGTAGTAATGCCAACAGACTCAGCTGATCAGAAGGAATTTCTGAGCGTTGACTGTTTATGCTACACTGAACATTCTCATGTGTGCCTATGCTTGTGTGTATAGACACTGGCTGTAACGCTAACAAGCTTAGCATGTGGACCCCTCTGTCAGGACATTGATGGGAACCCCTGCTCTGTCTCCGCTCTACTGCACGCTTGTGAAGATGTTGAAATGGCAATGATCTCAGTGGGACTTTAAGGTCATGTGACATCAGCTCCTTTTGTGTGAAGGATCATCAGCATAATCACCTTTATTGGCCAAGTATGTTACACACAAGGAAGTTGTTTCCGGTACAGAACCGAGGCAGCCATCTGCGGCGCCACCTCAACTGACAGCTTAGTGTCTTGTCCAAGGACACTTTGACACCGTGATTCGAACCTCCAACCCTCTGGTTAGGAGATGACCCCTCTACACACTTAACCACAGTCACCCCCAGTGAACTGACCATGATTACCATCATCATCATCATCATGAAGAAGAGGTGGAGTCTGACACAGCAGCTACATGTGGAGTAAACTCTACAGAGAGGCTGCAGTAAAGTGGCTTGTGCTCAGGCTGTGCTGTAAAGAACATAAAACCTGTGTGGTCCAGACCAGTTTCGACTCCAAGAGCAGCTAAGAAGCTTCTTCTGCACAAAAACAAAAGTGAAAACTGTCCCAGAAGAAACAGAGCAATGCATCTCTGCTCAGCAGCCAAACCAGCACAAAGCGCCAGACAGCAGCCACATTCCTCACAGTCCCACTTCCTGAAAAACCTCCACTGCCTCCAAAACCACAAACCCTCCCCCAGGCGACTCCTGCCTCCTCCCCCCTCCTCCCCCCTCAGGTATTCACGGCCTCGGCTGCAGAATCACAGCACGTCTGGATATGTGAGACGAACCGCGCCCAGCTGGCACAAAAAAATACAAAATGACCTTCATTCAGTCTGTGGCCAGCCAGCTGGAGCCTTCTGCTTTCTTCACCATTATCATGTAGGATCAGCTGAGCAGCAAAGGTCAAAGGTCACAACATCACATCAAACGGCAGAGAGAACAAGTGCTGTTCCTGAAGTTTCTGTTTCCAGATTTCAGGCTTTAAATGAGGAGGTGACATGGGCAGACAGAAGATGAGAAGATCATGAACCTCCTCCGTTCATGTTTGTATTAATCAAGTCTCTCTCAGGTGGAGACACATCCCCACAGTCAGTCCACTTTTCCACACAAAGTAGAATTTACAGCTGTCATGTCTGGTAGTTTGACAGCAGCTACATTAAACACAGGATGGAGAACAGTGTTGATGTTGGCATGAACACACAACTGCTCTGTCTGTCTTTTCACTACAAGGCTGCATCAAGATGTACGTAATTATTCTGTGGATCCACCTCAACCTGCTACATGACTAGTTCTCAACCATAAGGACTTTAAAGCAGACTGACAAAGAGCGTCAGGCCTCTGTTTTCTCTCTATTTCTTAGAAATGTGTCATGTTTCTCCCCTTAGTTTGGTCTGTGGAATGGCTCTAAATACTACACTACCCATGAGTCTCAGCGACTAACACTGTCAATATAAACTCAATCCTGCATCACAGCTGCTGAACTTATCCAAAAATGATTCAAGTTTCTGCATTTATCCCACAGGTTCTACAAAGACCAACCTCTAGCTTCACCACAACAACAAACTGGTATATATTTGTATCGACTCAGGAACGTCTCTATAAACTAGTTCCTTGGGGGAAGAAGCAAAGGAGGAGAAATTTAAAAAAAAGATGATGATGACAGTATATTTGTGCTGTTTGTGAGTCTTGTTGACTTTGGTGTCTTGTGCTGTTCTATGTGTGTTTTCTTGTTGAGTTTTATGTGTTTTAAAAGCCTGGCCAGGGACAGACATTGCAAACTAGCTTTGGCTGTAAATGCTGTGGTCGCTGGTTCTTGCTCCTCACCTTTCCCTGCACTAGTAAATAAGTGTGATTAGAGCAGTGTCTTGAGATAAGCCAAGTGTCTCACCTCGACACTCTCCAGAGACGTCGACCGCCTCAGTTTGGCCCTGCGGACGCCGGCCGGCGATGAGTCTGTGGCCTCAGTTCTGGATGGCGGCAAGTCCTCCGAGTCACAGCTCAGTGCAGCATCAGGTTCACTGTCAGGACGTGAGCGTCGGCCATAGCGCTTCGTTCCCTTCACAAACTTTGGCTTCACCTCCTCTGGAACAACTGGACAGATGGAGAACAGCTGAAGTTACTACCAGGCAGATGTAGGTCACCGACGCTGCCAAAGGCTATCACTCAGCAGCAGAACCAGGACTCTGAACGTGGGAAAATCCTGCCGGGAACATGAGTGGCACGAACTAAAACTAAAATCCAGCTCTTTTTAGACTGAGTTCCGTCATCCCACTTCTTCCACTTCATGTGCATTAAATAATCAACAGAGACGTGCGCAGGAACAGTAAACGAAGCACCCAACACTCGAACATTACTGTTGTGAAATGGATAAAAAAATTTTACTTTGTTTCCTGAAATTATTTGAGCCTCAGTACACTTTACAGTTCTGCTTGTGTGATGTTGATTTCTGTTAATCAGTGCTTAGTTTTGAATCCACAGTCACAGATTCACAGTCTAAAGACTATTCCAGTTTTTTCCCACTGAATGTTTGTGGGGGGGGTTTTCCTGACTGAGGGTCTAAAGACAGATAGTATCATATGCTGTACAGATCGTAAAGCCTCCTGAGGTTTCTAATCAGCAGCTGCCTCACAAAGTCAAAAATTAATGAATGAATCAGAATCAGCTTTATTGGCCAGGTGTGACGGACACACGAGGAATCGGACTCAGGTACATCGGCTCTCAATGTGAATGAATGAAAGAAGATTTTAAATCTCTGACAGAACAAATGTCAAGTTTTCCTTGAACTTATTTTGGATCAAAACAGGAGCAGAAAGACTCAGAGTAACTGAAGACTAACTGATCATTCACACAGGAAGCTTCTCTCAGAGCGCTTTTCAGGCTTCACTTCAAAACATACCGAGCATCAAACAGAGACTCAGAAGCTATAAGTTATCTGGTCACAGTCGCTTGAAGTCCATTTCGTAGAGTCCTTACATCTTTAACCTGGCTGTCTCCAAGGGCTGAACCCACAACCACAGCAGCTGAGTATGAGCTTTAACAGTCCGACACCTGCAGCTTCGCTCTTGGCTAAGAGGGCTTTAGACACAGTTAGACCATGACTTAAGGCAGGACCAGCAGTGGGCCTCCACAATGTCGACACACAGCTACTGTATGTCAGCAGAGCAGGGGGCCTGTGGACTATACTCTGCTTTTCCCTTGGAAGGAAACCCCATGTCTTACCTGGCTCCAGGTAACTGCTGTTGTCCTCTGATGTGCTGAAGTCCAGAGAGCGAGACAGGACGGTCACGAAGCCTTCTTTAAACTCTTCAAAGTTCACCTGACCATCAGAGACGCACAGACAATTCAGCTCATTTACAGTGAACTAAACCTGCATGCACAGATTTTTTGGTCTCTTTGTGGCAGCAGTACAAGCTGTAAACACAACATATTTTAAAACTTATTTCCACCTCCAGCAGAGTCAGATCAACATGACCCTCCATGTGCAGTGTGTCCCCCCCCCGATGAGCCTCAGCCCAGCGCTCCCTCTCTGTTCACTCTGGGTTTGGTCTCCACCACCTCCTGAGGGAAACCTCTGGCTCTGGAACTGCTAAACACTGCACTGTGTTCCCCAGCTGCTCTCTGACTCTAAGGGTTTGTTCTACCTGTAGCGTATGTCAGTGTGTAGTCAGGTTGTGCAGCGGTGAGTTGTACCCTGCCGTAGGTCCGATCTCCAAGCAGCGTGTCAAGCAGCAGTGGCAGATGAGCTTCCAGCTGCAGTTTCTGACAAAGCACTGTCAGCTCCTCTTGGTCCAGGAAGCCAGTGGCCGTCGTGTCGCAGCTGTCGAACTCGGCCTTTAGCTGGGCGACGTAGTGGCTGTGCTCCACCTCCTCCATCCCAACGCATCATGCTGCAACACCAACAGCTGGAGAAGAAGAACACCAGACATCATGAAGAGGAGTCACCAAAGAGTAGATGATAGAGTACATAAGAGTAGGCAGATATTAATAATAAGATATTTTTTGTTATAAGGGACATGGAGAACACGTTAGCTGATGCAGCTATTAAGTACCTGCTCAAGTTGTACAGGAGGTAGGTGAAACATTAATATCTATCAGTTTCACAGAAAGACACAAATTCTAAATGTGGACTCTCTGAGCTGCCATACATTGTAGATCTGCTTACTAATCAGTACGTCTTCATTTAACTGACATTTATTCTGCATTTTGGATTAGCTGCTGTTTTACCTGTTGTTTTCAGCTCCACTGGAATTTTCAGCTAATTTTCTAGAAAATATGAGGCAGGTTTCAATGAGACTACAGGACCTGTATAAAAAGCTTTTTCTCTGGTGGATTTGATGTATGAACACCAAAACCACACTGAATCCATCGGACTGCACGGACATGCTAGGAATGTGTGAGTGTGTCAGTGGCAGACAGGAAGTAGAAACATGCAGCGCAGTACTGAATAAAGACCAGAGACAGTCTGTCTCTAACAGAAGTCCAGTCACTAGAGGAGCATTTTTGTTCAACGTGTACTGATAGTGAAACATGTCAGGATCAGTCAGAGGCCGGAGACATCCCCTCCCCTCACCTGTGCTTGTCTCACCCTCAGCTTCCTCTCTCACCGGTCACCACAGCTGGACGCTGGTTTTATGTACTATACACCTGGCTTTCAAAGAAGCATTTTCCATGTCTGACCAAAAAGCCAATTAGCCAATTAGACTCAGGGGTATTTCCTGTTGTCAGACCACATACAGCTGCACCACAGTCCCTCCAAACAAAACAGCAGACTGGCGAGTTCAAACAAGCAGTCAAATAACAGGAAATTGATCTATTTTCAATCCAAAATTGCAGAAATTCACTGGTTACAACTTCAGTTTTGGTTCCAAATGTGAATATCTGCTGGTTTTCTACAATCACACACTTAATACATTCGGGCTTGTGTGCTGCTGTTCAGAGGGAGAGGACGTCACCTTGAAATCTGGGACATGTTTCACTATTTTCTGAAACTTCTATACCAAATATTTCACTATTTTAGGAAATAATCACTGCAGCCCAAGCACAGTAAAACTATGTCATTATAACAGTAACAAATAAGCACAATGATTATATAAAACAGAAAATAGCTGATCAAACACAAAGTAAACAAGAATGTGACCATCTATTCAGCACCAACCTTCAAACTGGATATTTTCTCAGTGTTAACACTTTGTTTTCAGTAATGCTAACATGTTGTGTGTCCTTGTTGCCCTTTGTGCCTTTTGTGGTCATTTCCCTTCCCTTTCTAGTCATTTTATGATTGTGGTCTGATTGTGTGTCTTTGTATAGACTTCAGTTTCTATCTGTAGTCATTTCTGATGTGTTTTCTATTGTAGTCCTGTGGCTGACTTTCAAACCACAAACTGAGTTTATATTGAGACAAAGGCTCCAGCTCATGGGCCCCTAACCCTCTGATGCACATCTGTGCCTGTACTTCACCCTGCGGGTTTTACTGTAGTAATACTGTAGTACTATTGTAGTAGTACTGTAGTAGTACTCTCTTTCAACAGTTGCAGTTTAAGACAAAACAACTAAAACCAACAAGTTCATTTAATATTAGGCTGGTTAACTTTACAGTTAAAAGCTAAAGGCTAAGCTACGTTACACCGACATTAGCCGCAAACTTCCCGTGTCTGTCCCAGGGGGTCTCGCGGTCTGATGAAGCTTCACCATGGCAACGGAGCCGCGAGCCTTTGTCCACTCCCCGCCACACAAACACACAAACTGACCACAACACACAGTTAGTTAACGCTAGTTTGAGACCCACGCCACCGTAGAACTGCTTAGTTACTAACGGACCCTCCGGTCTGTCCGGCAACCAAAAGAAGTTAACGTAAACTTTTGGCTGTATTTTTACCGCGGGAAACGTTCACCTCCTCCTCCCGTCCCCGGTAAAACTTCACGTTTCCTCCATGAACGTGTTTCCGGAGCTCCAGACAGTCTGCCGTTAAACTACCGACACGAACAACCGAAAGTAACGGGACAGCAGCTGGCACCGACCGATACCGACAGCCGCCGGGGCCACTGGAGGTACTTCCGGTCACACGTGTCAAAATAAAAGCTGCTCAGGACGTCTGTGGAGTGAAGTCAGATTTTGTCAGTGAAATAATTATCAAGCACATTCGCATAAAATACAAATAAAAATCCATCATTATATGGGCCGACAGTAAAATAAACACAAATGCCAAAAATATTACTCCTGTGCTCAGTCATAGTCTTGTCTATAGACAATTTAAACGTCTTGGACGTCCTCTGAAACACGTTTAGAACAAATTTGTTAATTACTTCGGAAATGTCCTAGTTAAACACCTTTTTAGTCTATAATTATCACCAAATAACATAACCCTTTAATGAATTTAAAAGCTGTAAATCTGCTTCTTCCAATAAATGACAGTAGCGGTACAGAACCATAAAACACCGGTTTCTCTTTATTTTGAGTCTGGTAGAATTTGCCAGCAACAGACTCGAGTCAAAATGATTAATTCGTTATGAATTACAAATACGACACAGTTGACCTTAAGTTTTTATTCTGAATACATTTTCCAGCCTCACACGGTGTCTCCTCTGCAGCTTGGCAGTAGTGTGAATAAGTGCAGGTGTTGAGGTGAGCCGCTGGAGGGCGCTGTCACTTCGACAGACGGCTGCTGCTCACTATAAACACTACTGGATAGAGGGATCAATGTAGTATTTTATTTGGGAATAGTCCTACAACCCAGTTTTGTCAGCGTGTTCACCAACATTAGTGACAAAAATATCTGTAATTTTACTAGAAAATAATAGGTTCGATTTAGTCTTTAGGTGGAAAGTAGCTGACTTCAGTATGTTTTAGATGCATTTGTAGGTTTTCTCTCGTTTCTTAGGTCCTACATCCACTCCAAACCATAAATACTTTGGTCTACATGCAGTTTACAACTATTACTAGGCTATTCATTTTTATTGTTACAGTAAATCCTATTCCCTGTTTTACTGCATAATGCTGAATTATAACTACACACTTACTGTACATTTGTCACCCTACATATTCTGTAGCATTCGTATTCCTCACTGTATAACTGACAACATATTACAGTGACTCGATAAAGTAAATTATTGTTGCAGGTGGTAAAGGTGGACCCGACGCCGACTATGATATACACACATTTTTCTCATGTCTAAATGTGTGTAGTGTATTTAGGGTGGAACTTGTGCAAAACACGAACATACAATACCAACCTTTAACTACATCATGCAGATCAGATGTCTGTGAAACCATGCGCATCCCTCTGAAGCCTCACCTGCCAAATAATAAAAGGTGAGCAGGAAGGCTTAAAATCTGCTACTAAAAGCTGATCGCAGACACCTTTAAATAGAAAGGCATCAGTATTTTCACTTTGATCAGATAGAAGTTCACGGAAATGTTGAACATCACTCCATCTCTGTTATTGGATGAGGGGGCCCCTGGGCCAGAGCCTCTGGATGAGTGACAGTTAATATGTCTCATCTGAAAACCAGAGCTCTTTATAAAATTCAAACCCAACCCTTGGTGTCCAGTTTGTCATTTGTTCATCTGTATGAATGAAGCTTTTAAACTTTACCCCTGATGCTTCATTTAACTTGAACTCAGGGAGAACAGGAAGTTTAAAATGACACCTTTATTTTCAAACAATAAATACATTTTTTTTTTAAAAACATCTTGATTTGTTTGATCATCAACTCAACAGCTGAACTACAGAAGAAATGCAATGTGTTCATTCAGAAAACGCTCCCGTCATAATTTCTCACGTCAAACAGCTTCTGCACGTTTCTTTCCAAACTTAGAAAGGCTTGATCACACACACTTAGGC